TAACAAACAGCTCGGATGTCCAGTGTAAATAAATTAGGGGTTGAACCCTGACCTCTAAACCAATCATTCAATGTCCTGGACAGAATGTTCTGGATGAGCAGATGATGGGCAAGGACCCTGAATAACAGACAGGCAGTTAGGGAGGAATTTAGGAAAGATAAAGTGTAGCTGACGGGACAATTCAGAAAAGAGAGAGAGAGAGAGCCCGGGGCAGAACCATAAGCAGGAATGGGGGGTACAGGAATAAACCAACTTAAACTAATGCACCCCAACATCTCCCCCTTCTTTGTTTAAAAAAAGGAGGAGTGGGGTAACTTAAAAACCATCTTCTGAAGGCTAAGAAGAAACAGGACACGCCCAAATCCCTCCATCTTGTCTCCTGAATCCCCATTCTAAAACCCTAAAATTCTACTTTTTACCCTCTGACAAATTAACTATCATTCTACATAAACTCTTCTGGTTTGTAAATCCTTATACAAAGCTGGTGATTTTCTCCATGGCTTAAATCAAAGGCACAGGTATCTTTCACCATGCACCAAGGTCTCTGAGCCCCCTGCCAGGGTCTCCAGCAATCCAGGGCAGCCAGAGGAATGTCCTGGTTTCCAACATCCTCCCCCCACCCAATTTCTACCAGAACATGGTGAGACAAAACCTTGGATTCTCTATCAAGTTACCATCCCTTGCAAAATCAATTCTCACTTCATCACCGCCACTCAGATCATCAACTCTCAGTTCATCAAGGGAGAGAGGAGTCTCTCTTGGACCACAGTCTTCCTTAGCAAACACGGTTCAAACCTCTTGTAATTCCATGCTGTAGCTCTCGTACGCTGCAGTCACTTGGAGCGAAGGGGCACCGGCCAGCTGCTCCCTGGATGGCCCAAGGGGCGCTACAAGACTGGCCACTGCCGGGCTCTCGCTGAGACTGCCCAGGTAGCGGTGGCAGCTGCAGCGTGGGTGATGCAGCCTGGTGTGAGGTACGAGGTCCCGAGACAAAGGAATGAAAGAAGGAACACTTGTAGAAGTTCCAAAGAAACGTTATTCCAACAAGGGTCTGGCTAGCCCTTATGAAGAGAGTCTCAGCCCGGCCACATGGCTTCCCCTCCCGCAGCCAGGCTGCGGCTGGGCAGGGGAAGGTCTGAGCTTTTTCACAGAGCAGAACCAAGAGAGAGTTCCCCTGGGAGATCTCTGCTTTTTAACCCCGGTGTTGTCAGAGCCGTATCCATGTCTTCAGTGGCCACACCCGGTGCCAACATTCAGATCTGACCACTGATTGGTTTGGACCACAACTTCCTGAAAAATTCACTTCCTTCTCAACCTAGGACAGACAGATTGGTGCCTGAGCAGCCCAAGGTGCCCTGGGATGTCACCATGGAATGGCACGGCTGTGACTGCCTCTGAGCAGGGGCACTTTACCATACCCAGAATGCCCTGGGAGGTCTGCATAGAGCTGCTGTTTCTGTGTGTGACATTGCAGCTCTTGAACAGCCTGGGGAATCTTGGATTGTGCCCATGGCACCCCTCTGAGGGCCTGCAACAAATCTGATCCTGAGCACTCAAACCTCACCAGGCCCCTGTGGCTATGGCCAGTTTCCACGGAAACCATCACCAGGCCCCTGTTGCTATGGCCAGTTTCCATGGAAACCATCAGCAGGCCCCCGTGGCTATGGCCAGTTTCCATGGAAATCATCACCAGGCCCCTGTTGCTACGGTCAGACCCCTGGCAGCTCCATGGAGACCCCATGCCATGGCTGGATGCCATGGCAACAGCATTGGCCTGATGACAGACTCTGTTGCCATGGCAACCATTTTCAGTCCCATTCCCAGGGTTGTGGGATACCCCCTAGGCTGTTGGCATGGCAACCTGTGCTGCTACTAGCTGGGATGCTTGGTCTCCACGGACCAAAGTTTAGGAATGGGATTCCTCAATTTCCTGCTGTCACTAAAACCGCGCTGCCATTCACTGCCCTCCCACCTCCCAGGGAAAGCACAAAAGGCAAAGATCCCAGGTTGGGATAAGAACAATTTATTGGGAACGGCAACTAGATAAGGAACAAACAGAAACAGCACCAATATTGAACACCGAAGGGATACGAAAAACTATTGACAGGGAAAACTGTGTAACCACCAACTGTCTCTTCCCAGCCACCTATATCCCCCTGCCTGGAAAGGACACCCTTCTCCACGGGGGACAGAGAAACTCCCTTTCCTGCCCTTGGCAATGACCTGAGGTGGGAGTGAATGGAATGACACGGCCATGGGCAGACCCTGATGTCCTTGGACCCACGTCATGTCATTGACAGGGGCAGGAGAAGGGACAGGTGTCTTCCCAGCATGGTTCACACAGAACATGGATTGTCAGGGCTCTTCCCAGTGCGGGTCCCCCAGTGGGAGAAGAAGCTGGAGCAGTGCACAAAGCTCTACCTGCAGTTGGGGCATTTGCAGGGCTTCCCTTACTGGTGCTTCCGTTGGTGTTTGGTCAAGGCAGATCTCTGGGTTATGCTCATTCCACACTGGGGACACTCATAGGGCCTCTCCCCAGTGTGTGTGCACCGGTGGATGACGAGGTGGGAGTTTTGCTTGAGGGCGTTTCCGCAGTCAGGGCAGCGAAAAGGCCTCTCCTCTGTGTGAATGCGCTCACGCAGAAGGAGATGGAAGCTTATCCGAAACCTCTTCCCACACCCAGAACACTCATAGGGTCTCTCCCCGGTGTGGACCCTCTGGTGCACAGTCAGGTCGGAGCTGCAGCTGAAGCCCTTCCCACATGCCCCACACTTGTAGGGCCATTCCCCAGTGTGGATCATCTGGTGGCGGAGCAGGTGATTGCTCTGCCTGAAGCTCTTCCCACACTCCGAGCACTTGTAGGGCTTCTTCTTGCTCATGCACCACCAGCTCTGAGCCCTGTCTGAAACTTTGTCCACCTTGCTGGCACAGGGTGGATCTTTCCTCCTCAGAGCACCCTGGGCTGGGCTTGGAGCGCCTCCTCCTGTGAGATCTCCAGGGCTTTTCCTCCCTGTTGGATTCTTGTGCCGTGGAGCCACTCAAAACAGCCTGTTCCACAAGGTGCTGCTGCAGGGATTTGTCCTCCCTGCTCTCCATCCTCAGCTCCTTGCCTGGGGGAGGAAGGACAAGGACAGGAGGGGATTTGCCGCTGTGCCACAGGGAAGGGGAAGGAGATCCTCCCAGTGCATCCCTGGCAGGACGGTGTCTGGAGCGGGGTTGTCCTGCAGCCAGTGGCCATGCTGGGCTGGGAGATGGAGCAGGAGAGAGGCGGAAAGGGGCGCTGACTTCCTCCTCACCTGCTTGGCTGTCCTGGGGCATTGTCTCCGTTTGAAAAGACAGGTGTTGGCTGAGGAAGGCAGGAACCACCCTAGAAATGGAAAATGTAAACCCCCTCCTTCCAAATTAGTATAGTTTTTAAATTAACGGTCTCACAAGCAAAGGTAGGGGAATAGGAATAATAGTTATTTAGCAGAAAAATGAAAACATAAATACAACAGTAAAAATCAAAAACACTGACAGGTTCAGAATACAACCTGTGGGTCACGGTGGTGGCATCAGTCCCAATAAATGGTGGCTTCAGTCCTCCTGCAGTGGCAGGTGTGGTTCTGTTGAAGCAGTGTTCCTGTAGAAGGGTGGAGTTTTCCTCTGAAGATCCAGTGGTGGTGGTGTTGGGCCTGGTCTTCCTCTGGGAATCCAGTGGAAAAGGCTGGCTCTGGTCTTCCAACCTCTGGTTATATCCAGGTAGGAAAGCTTGGCTCCTCCCCCTGGGCGGAGCCTCTCACAATGGGATAATGAGCTTTTATCAGTCATGCAGTGGGACTCAATGGCTCATTAGCAGAAGATATCTCCCAACAGGCAGAATGGGTTGTGGAAGAGATAAAGACAACTGCCCAGTTGACAGAAGATAACTGCCCCATCAGATAGGACTAGAATACACCCCCCATTTCCAACCTGAGATAGCTGGTAAATGCTTTGCCTGTGAAAGAAACAGTGTTCTCCACTTTTCTCCAGGGAAGTATTTTTCATGAAGCAGTTGAGGGAGGGGCCGATTGACTCTGCTTTCTAGAGGAACCCCTTCAGAGGCTCTCTCCCAGATTTGCCCTGGACCAGGGCATCCTGTCACTTTTGGCCTCACCCGTCCTTATTCGTCTGTCCCCACCAAGCCCCTCCTTTGCACTCCCATGTCCCTACACTGCAATTCCTTTATCCTCCCCTGTACCTTACACCGTGCTCCTTCCACAACCAAGCCCAGCCCATTGGACTCTCAAGCTAGCCCAGGTCAGTGTCTTTGGGTCTCCCCCCTGAAACAGATGTCCCAGGAGGCCCTGAATTCTCATCCCTTTGCCTCCAGCCTGCTCCCTGCACCCGTGTCCCCCAACAGCACCACAAGGTCCAAGGAAAAAAAGGGAGAAATGTGGGATTTGTTCAGACAGTTGAAAACATGACAGTTTCTAAGCACTGGAAGTCCAGAGGCTGTAAAAACAGAATTTGCAGTTTTAATGGTCCATTGTCCTCCCTCTTCCCCCTGCTGACTTGTCACATCCCAGCTGCAGAGGAGTAGATTATGGAAAGAAGACTGCAGGGAGTGTTGGAGGCATAATCCCAGAGACAGGAAGAAAGGGTGATATCGGGACAAGATTTCCAGTTGTTTTCTTATCATAATGACCACAAATAGCTCTGTAGTCTGAAATAAATGGGCAGGAGATCTTTCTCCTTTTTAATGCCTTTTTTAAAAAGAATCAGCTCAGGTGGGGAGAAATCGACGGGTCGCGCCCACGCCGCCGGTGCTCCCAGGAGCGGCACGGAGGAGGCTTGAAGGCCTGGCTAGGGGGGCTACAGGTAGAGCTGCCGGTGCTCTTCTGGGTGTTCAGTCCAGAGCAGGCTTGAACAGGTTTGACTCCTTATCTTCATATCGTCAGCTTACTACTAAAACTAATATATGTTCTAACTCTACAAACACATACGTTATACATCTAATGTATAGCTATACACAGACAATGGTGGTAACATTCAGCAAACAGTGATATTTATACATAGTTCTCACTCAACAATCAGATCTCCTTGAGGTACACATCGTGTTTTTCTATCTTTTTGCATTATCTACTATGTATAATTTGGTCTCTGAGCAAAAACAACTTCGCGAATGGGTTTGTCTGTACTCGAGGCAGGATTGATCTAAATTGTCTTCTTTAACAAACTCCTGACATGTATTACTGGGACTTTGTCTCTATCTACTCTATGTAAAGGCTCAGATTGGGCAGGGTTCACTCGGTTAGTAGAGCTTCGGGTATTAATTAACCAGGTGGCTTTTGCCAGATGCTGCTTTTAATTTTTGAAAGATCTCTCACTTAAGGCTTTTAAGGTGGTTTTTAGCAGCCTATTGTACCTTTCTATTTTGCCTGCAGCTGGTGCATGGTAGGGGATATGGTATACTCACTCAATGCTATGTTCTTTGGCCTAGGTGCTGATAAGGCTGTTTTTGAAATGAGTCTTGTTGTCTGATTCAATCTTTTCAAGGGTACTATGTCTCTACAGGACTTGCTTTTTAAGGTCCAGGATGGTGTTACGGGCAGTAGCATGCGGCACAGGATAGGTCTCTAACTACCCTGTGGTGGCTTCTACCATTGTGAGCACGTAGCGCTTGCTTTGGTGTGTCTGGGGCAGTGTGATGTAGTCAATCTGCCAGGCTTCCTTATACTTGTACTGGGACTACTGCCTACTATACTATAGGGGCTTCACCTTCTTGGCTTGTTTGATGGCAGCACACGTCTCACAGTCGTGGATAACTTGAGAAATATTGTCTATGGTTAAATCTACCTTTCGGTCTTGTGCTTACTTATAGGTGGCATCTCTACCCTGATGACTTGAGGCATCATGGGTCTATCGAGCTAGGAATAACTCTTCCTTGTGCTCTTAATTTAGGTTTATTTTGGACACCCTTATCTTTGCAGCTTGGTCTACCTGCTCATTGTTTTGGTGTTTTTTGTTGGTTCTACTCTTGGGGACATGGGCATCTACATGGTGGACTTTCACACATAGCTTCCTTACTCTGGTAGCGATGTCTTTCCGCTCTTCAACAGCCTAAACTGGTTTTCTTCTACGCTGCTAATTAGCTTCTTTCTACCTCTCCAGCCATCCCCACAGAGCGTTGGTTATTATTTATGAATCAGTGTAGAGGTAGAGCTTTGGCTACCTCACTCTTTCAGCAATGTCCAAGGCCAGTTGAACAGCTTTGAGTTCAGCAAGTTGGCTTGATCTACTTTTTCTTTTAGTGGTTTCTGCAACTTGTCGTGTGGGGCTCTATACGGTTGCTTTCTACTTCTGATTCATTCTTATTATGCGGCAGGAACTATCAGTAAAAAGAGTATATTGTGTTTTTTCTGCTGGCAGTTGGTTATATGGAGGAGCTTCTTCACCACGTGTTACTTCTTGTTCCTCTTCATTAGTGAGACTGAAGTTTTTACTTTCTGGCTAGTTTGTAATTATTTCCAGAATCTCAGGGCGATTCAGCTTTTTAATACGGGTGCGCTGTGTTATGAGAGCAATCTACTTACTCTATGTAGCACTGGTGGCATGGTGGGTAGAGGGAACCTTTGCTTTCAACATCTACCCCAGTACTGGTAGTCGGGGTGCCAGGAGGAGTTGTGTTTCAGTGCTTAATTACTTTTGAGGCAGTTTGGACTTCTTCATAGGCTGCTAAAATTTCTTTTTCTGTTGGAGTATAGTTGGTTTCAGACCTTCTGTAGCTTCGATTCTAAAATTTTAGTGGTCGGCTTCGAGTGTCTCCAGGTACCTTTTGCCACAGGCTCCAGGACAAATCATGGTTCTTGGCTGCAGAGTAGAGCACATTCTTTACATCTGGTTTTGTCCTGATTGGGCTAAGGGCTACCGCATGAGCGATCTTCTGTTTAATCTGGACGAAGGCTTGTTGCTGTTCAGGGCTTCAGTGGAAAGTGTTTTTCTTACGGGTGACTAGATAGAGAGGGCTCACGATTTGACTCTATTCAGGAATGTGCATTCTCTGAAAACTTATGGCGCTTAGGAAAGCTTGTGTTTCCTTCTTGTTGGATGGTGGAGACATTGCTGTGATCTTGTTGATGACATCAGTGGGAATCTGACGCCGTCTGCCTTGCTACTTCGATCTCAGAAACTGGATCTCTTGAGCAGGTCCCTTGACTTTGCTCTTCTTGATGGCAAAGCCGGCTTTCAGGAGAATTTGGATGATTTTCTCTCCTTTCTCAAACACTTCTGCTGCTGTCTTTTCCCATACAATGATGTCATCAATATATTGCAGATGTTTTGGAGCTTCACCCTTTTCTAGTGTACTCTGGATCAGTCCATGGCAGATGGTAGGACTGTGCTTCCACCTCTTCGGCAGCCGGTTCTAAGTGGACTGCACACTTCTCCAGGTGAAGGCAAACTGTGGCTTGCATTCTGCTGCCAGTGGAATGGAGAAAAATGCATTGGCAGTATCGGTAGTGGCATACTACTTCGCTGCTTTGGATTCAAGCTCATACTGGAGCTCTAATATGTCTGGCACAGCAGCGCTCAGTGGTGGAGTCACCTCATTCAATGCACGGTAGCTTACCGTCAATCTCTATTCTCCTTCAGATTTACGCACAGGCCAGATGGGGCTGTTGAAGGGTGAGTGGGTCTTGTTGACCACTCCTTGGCTCTCTAGCTCTCGGATCATCTTATGGATGGGAATCACAGCATCTCGAGTGGTTCTATACTGTCGACGGTGCACTGTGGAAGTGGCAATTGATACCTGTTGCTCTTCTCCCTTCAGAAGCCCTACTGTAGATGGATTCTCAGACAGTCTAGGCAAGGTATTTAATTGCTGGACGTCCTCTGTTACTGCAGCTGCTATCTCAAATGC